ATTGACATTGAGGGCCAGATAATTCTTTGTTGTGGGCGCTGTCCTGTGCCTAGTAGAGTGTTTAGCAGCGTCCCTGGATTCTCCCCCACTGGATGCCACTAGCACCTCCCCTGTTAGTAGGCAGAATAATGTCCCACCAAAGATACACACGTCCTAATTTCTGGAACCTGTGAATATGTTAGCTTACACGGCAAGGGGGAATTAAGGCTGCAGGTAGAATTAAAGGTTGCTAATCAACTGACCTTAAAACAATGAGATTGCACAGGGAGATCAGCTCGGTGCTTTGTGACCACCTAGAGGGGTGGGATAGGGAGGGTGGAAGGGAGACACAAGAGGGAGGGGATATGGGGATATATGTATAAGTAAAGCTGATTCACTTTGTTATATAGCAGAAGCTAACAAGCCGTTGTCGAGCAATTATACTCCAATAAAGATGTTTAAAAAAATGACATTATCTTGGATTATCCAGGTGAGTTCTATGTAATCACAAGCACCCTTAAGAGAGCCTGAGGAAGAAATGACTGGAAGAAGAGTCAAAGAGATGCAACATGGCTGGCATTGAAGATGGAGGGAGGGGGACACTGGAAAAGCAAAGGAAACAGACCCTAGCGCCTTCAGAAGGAACACAGCTCTGCCAACACCTTGACTTTAGCCCAAGGAGACCTATTTCAGACTTCTGACCTCCACAAGTATAAGATAATAAATTTGTGTTGCTCAAACCCGTATGTTTGGGGTAATTTGTTACAGCTGCAAAATGAAGGTAATAACATCACCACCCCCAGTTGTGAGAACCAAAACTGTCTTTGGACATTGCTAAATGTCCCCTGGGAACAAACTGTCTCCAGGTTGAGAAGCACTGCTCTACAAAACAGAGTCCAAACTCTGTTTGCACAGTGGGGCTCTTCATAATTAATGCTACCCAACCTGTTGAATACTATTATCCAACACACAGTGAGATACAGCCTATGTTCCAGGCACACCAAACTTCTAACTTCAAAAACACTCTATCAATACATCCTTTCACTTCCCTGCAGATTTGATGTCAAGAGGTGCTTTGGTCCTCCTGCCATTTTTACCTGAGCCTATAGTTACTTATTATTCCACAAACAGGTGTCTAATTTCTGGTTTCATTAGGTTGTTATATAAAAAGCCACGTGGTTGCTACATACGTTAAACCGCATATATCTTAACCTCCTCCTCCAAACAAATTATTGCACTTAAGCCCCTCTAAGTCCTCTTTGTTGGAAACTCTAGCGTCACCAACACCTCTGTGCCTTTGCAGGTCCACTCCTTTCCATTTCATCAAGGAATCACTTCCCTTCCTCTTCTTATAAGTGGCAGTCACCCTCGAAGATCAAGTTCAAGCATTCTCTGCACAGTGAAGCCTTTCAGGACTCCCCAAAGCACGGAGAATCACATCCCCCAGTTCCTGATTGTGCTGACCCTCTGCACTGCAGCTATTGGTTGACTCATCCATCCACCTCCTTAGACTCTTTAAGGGGTGACACCATATTTTAGCCTCTCTGCATTCCTGGTACATAGAGAAATGCTTGTGCTCAAGAAGTTCTTGGGGCGTAAATGAAGAAAAGAAGTCATGAAGAGAGAAATAATTTTAGTTATGGGTTATCGAGGCTGGCAAACTCTATGTCAGCTATGAGCATAATCTCAGCTCTGATCCAAAAGAATTAGGGGAACCCCAGAGTTAGAACGAGACCTTACTCCCTTGTTTATGATCCGAGTCAAGGACAGAGCCTGGCTGCTAAGAACGAAGTTGAGAAGTATATACCAATTGTGTTACCATGTACCATTTATCCCTTCGTCTTCTCCCTTTTTCTACTCAATAGATATTCTACCCAGCACGTCCATGAATCAGTTTTTGTTAAAGCAATCCTAAAACACGCAGTAAGGAAATATTGAGTTGTAGCTGACTTCGTCTAACACCTCCTGGTTTTAGGCCATAAAAATGCCATTTGTGAGCTTTGAGTGAGCACAAGGCATAGAGCTACAGGCATTTATGCGAGTCTTGGGAGCAGGTGCCCTTGTACGAACAATTTAGTTTAAAACCACAGAATCTGGGCTTCCCTGGTGGTGCAGTGGTTGGGAGTCCGCCTGCCAATGCAGGGAACGCGGGTTCGTGCCCCGGTCCGGGAGGATCCCGGGAGGATCCCACATGCCGCGGAGCGGCTGGGCCCGTGAGCCATGGCCGCTGAGCCTGCACGTCCGGAGCCTGTGCTCCGCGGCGGGAGGGGCCACAACAGTGAGAGGCCCGCGTACCGCAAAAAAAAAAAAAAAAAAACCCAGAGAATCTGCTGAAAGAACTAAGTAGAAGTGGATGTGATCCATTACTGGCTACACCTGAACGAAGGTGAATTCTCAGGTTTGCCTATGGATTCAATGGAAGAGAAACTGAAAAGCTGAATAAACCATAAGAGATCCGTGGAATCTGCAGGCAACACTCAAGAGGGATCCACATGCTTTTGGAATGGGAAGACGTCCCCAAGGAAACTTTCTGCCAGCTGAAAGCACTCTGTAGGCTGTCAAGATGGCCATCATGGGGGGGCTACATTCAACTCACTGCTGTAGTAGTTCTCAGCTGGGGCAGTTTTGACCCTCAGAGGACATCCAGCAGTGCCTGCAGACACTTTTCATTGTCACACTGGTGGGGAGGCTGCTATTCGCACCTAGTAGGTAGAGGCCCAGGATGCTGCTGAACTTCCTACAATGCACAGGACAGTGCCCAAAGCAAAGAATCGTTCAGCCACAACTGTCCATAGCGCAGAGGCAGAGAAACCCTGAACCAGAGTAAGCAGGGAAAGCATAAGAACCAAGTCTGTACGGTCCAAATGTCCCCTCCAGGGCCCATAAGTAACCTTGCAAGGTGTTCATTTGCTGGACTTTTGGCATCATTAGTAAAGATTCTCTTTTAGGACAAAGGACCTAGCTTGCTTTCAAATGAGAAGGACAAGCAGTGCTCAATAGGACGAATTTCCTTGGTTTTTGAGAGGGTTCCAGGGCATTAAACCTTTGAAAGGTAATCCAAGCCATTAAATTCCAGACCCCGGGGTTACGTTAGGATATCTGGGACTCTATTAAACAAAACCAGCCTTGGACCTTCATGCCAGGATTCCATCCAGTCATTCCATGTCTGCCTCAACAATAAAGGGATTATACACACACACACACACACACACACACGAACATTTTACGAGAAAATTTTGTTCTTTTGCTAGATGGCTATGTACTTAGTTTTAACCACTGCAAATGAGGTGAAAGTCATGGTAGGTGAGCTTGCAGACTGCCCCTACACTGCACAGAACAGTTTGAAGCCACCCAGTATTGATGAAGTTCAGGTACTTGTCCATTAATTATGAAATTTTAATGGATAAGAAGAAAATTTCTAAACAGTTGTGATCATCTACAGTAGACTGCCTTTCAGTCATAAGAGCAACAAACAGCATCTATATACTATATTCCAAGTATGTACAGTTGCTAAGAAAAGCAGAGACGTTCTTAGTGATGTAATTGGTTTAAACATGAATGTCAGTGGCTATCCAGTCCAAGAACTTGGCTTGCTTTTGCATTTCTCTCAACTCCTACAGATTGATCTGATAACATGTGCTTCTGATATCGAGTAGGAATCCAGGCCCTTCTAAAGACCAAAAGAAATTCAACATTTATTCTTGACCCTCTTTCTAATGCTAAGCTCCCTGGTTTGGAGAGAATCTCTTGCTTCCTGCTTGACTTTTCTCTCTACTGCCTATATCTTCCTCAAGAAAATGGGCAGAACAGTCAGCAGTGTTTGTTAGTTTTTGTAATCCATGCTCCCCACCCAACAGCAGCAGTTACTCTGACACAGTAACTAATATTTTACTAATATGTGATGCGAGTATTTCTGATAAATACTGCTGATTTTTCTAAGGCAGTCTAATAAAAGCCAAAATTTCACAGTCATCTCACGATAACAGAGCAAGGTATGATGTTGGATACTATTTTCTAGCTGTTTTTCTTGGTTGTGTTTCCTTTATTTAGTCTAAATCTCCAGCAATTACATGGTATTTCATTTCATTTCTGTAATTCTAACTGTACTTTAAAACATTTAATTACAATGGATGGAATCTCTCCTTATGGAAACAGATCCAAGGCAAATCTATAGAGTTTGTGGACTGAAAGAGATTAGGAGTTGTTCATTTTTAAAACAACTAGTATTTATTCTCTAAAAGCATGCAGCTTTCCAAGTGCCCATCAACCACAGTTTCCCATTAGCTCTGTTCTCCACTCTTCTAAACCAGAGAGTAAACGTTTTTAAAGGTACCAAATACCTCCCTCTGAGCTCCCTATTTACTAACGATTCCTGATTCATGTATATTTCACTACTAGTAGCCCTTAGTGGAATCTGGGCATATGTCCATGATCTTTCATAGCCTTAAGCAGAGATTTTTTTTTCTCCAGGATTAAACTAGTACTCAGTACCATAGATCTCTTAAATCAGACCTTTAGGGAGAAGAAAAGATCAAAACTAGAGAATTCTAGTAGTTACTCCCCCAAACACACAGACCTACACACACACATATCAACAACACCCTCAAGAATAATGTTCCTGAATTCTCTGTAAAACAACCAGATGGCAGAAACATTTCAAAATATATTTCCTCCAATCCTGACAAACAGCTTGGAAATAGATCATTTGAGTTCCAAAAAAATATCAACATTGGGTGAAGCAATAAGATGACCCCTGGAAATCACCTGCAGCACAAAAAGGAAAGCACCTCTTCCTCTAGCTCCTACCACTGCTCCAAAGGGGAGCCAAGAGGTCCTAAGAAGACACGTGTGGGTGGCCACTAGGGACGTCCCATTTGCAGACACCATTTAGCCAGCCAAAGAGGAACAGCCACACCAGGAAAACCCCTCAGTGGGTCCCTGGCTCTGTAAATGAGAAGGAATTAAAGAACTGCCCAGGTGTCCAGCCTTGGGCCATGAGGACACGAGGCACCGGACCCTACCTCGGACTTCCACACGACATAGGGTTGGCCGTGGCTGTCGGGTGGGGACTGGAACTTTCTTTGCTGGAGCCACCTCCTGGGAGAAGCGAAGATGCCGTTGGGGCCTCCCCCGGAGGAGCAGAGGATGGTGCTGCGGCCGCTGCCCGGCCCGGCTAGGACTGAAGGCAGGTCCCATACCATGCTCTTCTTGAGGCCGCTGCGACCAAGGGGGACCTCATAGTCAAAGTGGAAGCTGCCAGAAGGTGACTTCTCCAGCGGGGTGCTGGGCGTGGAGAAGGGCGAGCAGAGGGGTCTAGGGGACGGGAGTCGGTTGACCCGGGGAGGCGGGCCCCGCGGAGAGGACGCCAAGCGAGAGCCGAGACCCTCGGCCACGGACAGCGGGGAGCAGACGCGGCCCCCGGTGGCCCCCCGCGAGCCGCCCTCTGAGCCCGCCTCCCCCGCGCAGCCGCCGATCAGAGCCGGGTCCAGGCTGCGGGTCTGGCGAAGCTTCCTCTTGGAGAAGCCCTTGGCCGAGGCCGCGCTGCCCGAGGCCGGCGAGGAGCAGGAGAAGACGCTGTGGAGTAGGCTCTGCGCGGACATCTCGGCGGGGCTGTGCCTGAGGGCCACCCTCTTCCAGCTCTCGGAACTGCTAGCGCTTTGGGGCGCAGAAAGCAAGGGGGCTCAGGCGAGGCTGCCAGATGGGGTCGGGCCAAGGCTCGCCGAGGCCGGTGGAGGGCAGTTCCCGGCTCACGAGCCACCAGCACGCTCCAAGTGCCCCGGCAGGGGCAGAAGCAGGAGATCCATCACCAGCCTTCTAGGAAAAGGGGTGAGGACGGAGGGCTCCTTCGGTCGCCAGAACCTTCTCCCAGAGCCTAAGTCACGAAAAGGGTAAGGAAGAGGAGGAGGAAGGTCAGGCGCTCGCTGGGTGCCCAGCTCCGGCGGCCGGCGCCACTCCCCCTTCCCAGCTGAGGCAGGAGATGCCGCGCTCCCGCTCCCAGGCTCTGGACAGCCTTGAAGTCTTCAGCAAGCTCCTCCTCGCGCCCTAAGGACGGTCCCGAGGGCTGGGGAGGAGGCCTCCTGGGCGTGCGCCCAGGGCGCGTCCCTCGCCCTCTCGGCGCAGTGAGAGGGACTTCCTCCCGCGCTGGAGCTGGGGACCCGGGCTGCGCCCTCGTGCACCGTCGCCGTATCCGGGCCTCTGAAGCTACGCGTCTGGCCGCCACTTGGCTGCTGCGCCCACTCCTCTGACTGGCTAGGCGCAAGAATGTCTCCAAGCTCCAGGTTCCCCCAAGGTGCCAGTCTCGCTACAAAGCGGGGACACGGAGCGCGCAGCGCCCAGGGCCTTCCAAGGGCTGAGCGGCTAGGGTGGGAGAGAATTCCCAGCTGCGCTCAGGGAGCTAAGGGGACAACCACAGGGTCGGCTGTCCATGACCCGCCGGAGAGGGGCTCTTGATATTCTCAGCCCAGCCTTGGGCCCAGGGCAGGCACGGAGATGTCCCCGCACGCTCACGCTAGACGCAGCGGGAAGCGGGCGGCCCGGACGGGTAGGGCGGGAGGGAAGCCAGGTCTGGAGCTGGGGCGGAGCCAGGAGCAGGAGAAAGCAGAACGTGGAGTTCTCCAGGCACCAAGCCTGGGAGCGGCGCAGCGTGAGCACCGCTCACCATCGGTACCGGGTCTCCTGGGGAGAAAGCCCCGAGGACGGAAGTGCGGACCTTCTCCCCCGTCTCCCCTCCCCCAAATCGAAGGGGGCGCCAGCTCCACTCACGTTTCTGGAAAGGAAGGGAAGTGTCAGATTGCACCCCACCCACTGGTGTCAGATGGATAAGCCCGAGACGGCTGCTCTGAAGCTGGAGATAAATCTCCGGCCTTCCTTTGCTCCGCCCTGCTGTTTTGGTTTTTAAAAAGGAAGGACAGAGATTCAGTTCAAATGTAGTGGCTGCCGATGAATGGGCTGGAGATGGGGACCTACTAAGAAAAGGAGGGGAACGGCTAGGGGTCCTCGCCATGTAAGGGTCGTGCAGTAACTGTACTAGAGGAGGAGGGGTGAGTGAGGCCAAGCAGGGGGCAGGGGCCCGGCGCAGCGTCAGTCCAAAGGCTGCAGAGATTGGCGCTCACAAAGCGATCGGTCTCCGGGTTCTGCTGTGGGACGCCTTTGGGCGCAGCGCGCAGCGGCCACATTCCTGGGAAGCTGGAAAACGCTGGCGATGTCAATGTTCCCTGCTTGAAAACAAGTCTAGGAGCACCTTCCCCCGCTACTGTCCCACCCCTAGAATCTATAAAGCGCGAAGCCTCGCCCGCTTCTCGGAGGGCTTTTTGACGTAACATTTAAGTTTTGCGACGCATCTCACAACCATCTCAGCAGTAGAGCAGAGAGAATGTTGGAAATGCCTGCGTACTTTATTCAACTGTGTTCGTGTGTCCCCTTTTACCACTTCTGGGTGAAGAGAACTTTATACAAATGTAAAGGTGACTTTCTTTTACCATTACTTTTATTAAAGAAAAAAAAACTTACAGTGAACTTATAAATACAAGTGTTTGACACAAACATTCGCCGTGCTGTATATAACATCAGAGTTGTCCAACTTTGATTGTGGAAGGCTTGTTTCATTCCCTATAAAGTTTTCAGGGGGAAATTTAATGTCTTTCTCTTCTTAAAAAACGTGTTCGACGGTCCTAGGTATTTGACTGTCTAGGAGGGGGTCACATCATGAAATCTAATTAACAGAAGAATTCGATACCTCCATAAAGGGCTTCATTCGGACCCCAGGATTTCTGACCTACCCGTTTTTGTAAACGCAGCGGGACCCGCTGCACTCAGGGAGTTCCCTCCTGTAACTTTATGACTTTGCTGCCACAAGACAAAAATGAGATACAAATTTCCCATCACCCTCAATGCCACCCAACTCTTCTCACCCTGAAACATAAGTACTCTTTCCAGTGGCTGACGATTAGATGTGCTGTGGAGAGACACAGCCTTTAAAATTGCTTACTTTCCTGCATGACTACACACACCAAATTACATTTGGGGGATTGTTGTCATTTGCTTTCTTCCCTCCTCAAACAAGTCACAGTAGAAGTAAAAGAGGGCAGGTCTTGCCTGCCCTTTCCTTAGTTAACAATATCATGTAACTTGTCACTAGTAAACACTTAATGTCTCTACCATTTGGATACCAGTGTATGGAACTGATTATGCTTCACTGGATTTTGGCATTTGGAGTAGATGGTTAGCAAAGTCACACGTCACAGGACCACTTACAACTCAGGTGGTTAAGCAAATGTAACTTATAATTTATATATGTGCTATTTCTCTAAGCCCAAAAGATGACCATGGGGTTGAAAATGCAACCCTGCCACAATGATGTAGGGCTAATAAGAATACCCTCCAGGCAGGAAGTCATACATGCTTGGTCATGGATGTTGGGGAGCCAGTGAGCAGAGGGCCTGTTCTATTGGCACTTCAGGCTTAGAGCAAACGCATCCAGTTCATTCATCATCTTATTTCCAACAGGTCCTGACTCTCCATTAGCCTGGAGCTTGCCTCAGCATAAGGAACAATGAATAAACTGTTTTGAATATCCGTAAGTTAAGCTCTGGCTCCTTTTTAAAAACCCGCTGTAAGTATATATGCTTTTAAAACACACGGGGAAAATGTAATGGCACTTCTGGAAAGAAAGATTTTATGAGAAAATTATTTGGATTTTTTTAATGATATTTTTAAAACTATTGTGATTTCCAATCTGACTGCTATTAGGCTGATTTTGCAGTCATTTTGGTGTATGGCTTATTCATTCATTCCTATTTAGGGCATCCTATTTTACTGTTGTTTGTTAAATAATCCCTTTGCTTATACAGATCCAACTCACATTGGCCTTTCTGACTGACTGCCATTTTATGCCAGACTTGATTAAGGAAGATCTGGGTTTCATTTACCAATTTCCAAAATAACTGTTTTGGGCTTCCCTGGTGGCGCAGCGGTTGAGAGTCTGCCTGCCGATGCAGGGGACACGGGTTCGTGCCCTGGTCCGGGAAGATCCCACATGCTGCGGATCGGCTGGGCCCGTGAGCCATGGCCGCTGAGCCTGTGTGTCCGGAGCCTGTGCTCCGCAACGGGAGAGGCCACAACAGTGAGAGGCCCGCGTACCACAAAATAAATAAATAATGACTGGTTTTGTTATGTTGATCCCCAGAAATTTTTCTTACAATTCATCAGCCTGCTTCAGAGGCAATATAACTGGTAGTCTAGAAATAAATCGTTTTGAATTCATATACTTTAAAACTCAGGTGTCTAAGACTTTGCTCCTTTATTAGGGCATTTGATGTTGAAAAGTAGTGTCCATACTTGTTTTTGGTTTTGCTTTTTTCCTCAGAGCTGAAGTTAATCAAAGCCTAAGGATACCTTTTATTAAAGGGCAGAACAGTGTGTTCACTGTTCATTCCCTGTTGTAATTATCCTAGAAACTCAGGATAAAAAATATATCTATTCCATCTGGTCATGGCACAAGAATATTCTAATGAAAGTTCTAGAGACCTTGGTCTGACATCAAGGTATCCTCTTATCAAGGATCCTCGAAAATTCATCAGTGTTCTTTCTATTCCCTTAAGACACTGTTCTACAAACACATACATCTTAATACCAAAGAATATATTCTGCTAAACCTAAATTTCCCTTTTCTTAACTTTATCCCTTGAAATTTTTCTTATCTCCAGCCAAAATTCCTCTTTCCCCTTCGTGTCTAGACCCTCAAGCTATCTGTAGATTTCTATCATGCCCCTCGGGTCTGACTTTGTGGTTTGGCTACACTATAAAGTTCATATTTTGCTTTAAAACCATCATTGTAGATGATCTCCTCTGGACTGCCTCCAGTTGCTTATTCCTTTATAATCCTGAGGTCCAATATTCCAGGTTAGGGCATCCTATTTTACCCTTGTTTGTTATATAATCCCATTGCTTATATAGTCCCAAATCACACTGAACTTCCTGACTGACTGCCATATAATATTTCAGACTTCTATCTGATTGGCTCCCAAGTCAGGCAACATCACTGATTTTTGTTTCGTCCTGCCCATGTCTCTCAAACTGATTGTGACCCCTCTGATATCATTTCTTCATTCTTAGTGGTATCTGGGGTAAACAATTCACAGCATCTCACGCTCCCATAGAAGAAGTCAAAGGTTCTGCCTCCAAGCTACTGAAACATGAAAAGGAGGACATGATTTTAATCTGTGTGATGTGGAATATATGAGAAGCGGGTGGAGAACTTTTACAGGACTTAAGAATTGTAATTACATTAAATAGCAATAGTGTCCCATGCCTAAACTACTTCTTGATTATAAGCTAGGAATTTTTTGCAGCTGAACCAAGAGTGTTTCTCTAAATTCCTATTCTAGGATCTCCCTGAACAAATATAATAGCCAAGAACTTAAATTACAAATGACGGATAACAGTGGAGGTAAATTTCAAGTCGCAGGATAATCCTGTATGAGTAAGATTAGCAAAAACTCACTTTGTTAAACACCAACCCAGCACTGAGGAACACTGATCACTTTCCAAAGACGGAAATGGTGTCATAGTTATTCTCTAGATGGTGAATATAATGATTTGCAAGATAAAAGGGTATTTGAGAGATTGAGTCCTAACTGGTACCGTGACGTGAAAAGACTAAGATATAAGTTCAACTCTCTACCTTAGAGAACAATTTAATATTATAATACCTAAAGAAATATCCAGAAAAAAAATATTTATGCCAACACTAACAGGAAAAAGCGCCGAACATGTCCACACCATTTGGTAACCTGAATTTAGTGTTGTAGTCAAGATTATCTACTCAAACAGCTTGGTCCTAACCCTTCAATCAATTGTTAATAATAACAATATAAGAACAACTAACACTTGGTGGAACTTCCTATATGGC